CTCGTACCTGGATAACAAGATTCTGCCTGTTTGAGGGGCTGGGCAGCCTTCAGTGTGATTTTCAAATAACACTTTTCCCCAAAGTATGCACATTTGAGCACTATACGTTAACCCTGAGTCACAGGAACTTGTAAATCTTCGCTTTAGCTGTGTCTGTATCAGCAGCCTTAAGTAAGAGCTAATGCAGCCTTAGGCTCTGATCTGCTTGCTCACCTCGCGTGTGCCGTTCCTAGGGTTACTCACCTGAGGAAAGCGACGAAATCTGGGACCGTGCTACAGACACAGTGCAAACGTCATGCTAAATGCATACTGTTTTACATATACACATTTGAATCCCTTTTATTTATTCATAAGATTTTGCTTGGCACCTGACATGAGGGACCAGGCAGCTAAGAAGAACTCAGAGACTGAGCTCCACCTGCACTTAGCATTGTTCTCCCTGCAGAAAAGATGAGGAGCAATGATGAAGCACAGAGCAAAGACGGGACAAAGTCACGTAGGAGCCTGTGGCAGAAGCTGGCACGGATCCCAGATCCTCCAATCCACAGCCCAGCGAGTCCTTGAGGCAGCAGATCCCGGCGGATGAGGCAGGAGCGACCTGCAACCCCAAGAGGATTTCAGCTGCAGAAGTGGGATTGCAAGCTAAGGGTGCCCGCTGAAATAGCTAAGGAATTCCTAGACTGTGGCTGGTCGACATGGCAAAGCTTTTACCACTTCTGCTACTCCCATCCCTCAAACAGATGCTCCTGTATCATAATAATACTATCAATAAAGTACTGCTGGGTTCATAGTTAGAGAGTGGTATTGTGTGGTCCTAGCTTTTCTCTGCTTTTTTAGCAACGGCACTGCCCGGAGGAAATGCAAGGCATTAAATTCCTGAAGAAACTGAAAAATAAACAACTATAGCTTCAAAATATGCTCTCAGCTCTCGCCAGTGACCTTGATATGGATGGAAAGCAGCTGTATGGAAGACACCTATGGTATTTGTTGCAACATAACAAATAATGGTGACTAGCTATTCCCCGATATTGTTGAACACATCAATGAACTTAGATTTGATAATATTCACAACCTGTAGGGTATTTACTTTCATTGAACATTTGAGTGGTAGTGTTTTACAAGAGCAAATACTTGTGAAAAATCTAATTTTAAGCTTCGATGGTCACCGAAAGCCAGTTTCAAAGCCACCCAGGGAACAAAATCGTGCGATTTATGTAACTAACTGACACATCACAAACTGGGACTCCTCACAAAAGCTTGGCAGACAAAGAGGTACCGACCGGAGAAATGATTCAAATCATTTCAACATATAAATATTAAGAATTGTACAGCTTGGTCAAGAACAAGAGGAAGAGGAAAGTCTAATCAGTGATATATTAGTCTAATTTCTTTGCAATCTCCAGGTCCTGAGCCTGGGGAGAGTTACACATGTGATTTTCTGCAGCCTGCGGAGTTCTTCAGAGTTTGCAATTACTCCGAGAGCAGAGCTAAGCAGGGACACAAATCTTTGCCGAACCCAGGCCTTGGACAATTCCTGCAGAAAAGACCCTTTTGTCTTTAAAGAGCTCTGTCAGCGCAGAGCCCCAGAGAAGCTCCTCCGCAGCCACGCGCAGGGCACAGCCGCGTTGGCTGCACAAAGAGGGGCCAACTTCACCCTGGGGCAAGCAGAACTGCTCCTGGGCTGCCACGGCATGGGGTGGCCCTATCCTCATGCTGCTGTGCTGCCTGCACTAGCTTAGACCGTGCACAGCAGGCAGCATAGAGGACGTTCCCCCTGCTCTCTTGCTCCCTCACTGCACAGGGAGAATATTGGAATGGGTTGTGGAGTCTCCTTCTCTGGAGATCTTCAAAACCCACTTGGACGCAGTCCTGTGCCACGTGCTCTAGGTGACCCTGCGTGTGCAGTGGGGTTGGACTAGATGATCTCTAGAGGTCCCTTCCAACCCTAAGCATTCTATGATTCCTGGCACCAGATGCTTCTGAGCCTTTTCATGAGCTCCGTGAGGCTTGGGCTTCACAAGGACACACTGTCAGCTGCGGAGAAGGGACTTCGGGAATGCACAAGTGTTTTGAGAACAGGCTGCCGTTGCTTCCGTCTCGCATACGAATGGCGAGCTGAACACACCACAGACCAAAAATATGCTCCCGCTTCTGCTCGTACCTGCCTTTTATGCATCTTCATTCCTTATCCTCAGGCCCCTATGATAATCCCTCTGCTTTCAAAGCCTCAGCTCGTGGCTTCCTGAGCCAGCAGCGTGCTGCACAGCTCTCTCCAGATGCTGCACGTCCCGGTGGAAAGGGAAGAGATGTCGTGTTTCCGAAGACAAGGTCTCCGCGGGGCTGCCAGTTTCAGGAAGATGTGCATAATTTCCTAGACTCACTGGGGAAGTTCCAGTCCAAGAGCGTTGGGCACAACAGGGTATTTGCAATGCTGGAGGATGAAGGTAATTTGGGGAAGTAGCCAGCTCGCAGGTTGGGATGTGAGGGAAACAGGGGCAGCGCTGGGGTTTTCCAGGGATGACTCTGCAGCTTTGCACGTCCTGTAGGGCACTGGAACTGCTGTCCTCTCAGGTCAGCAGAGTGACAAACCCAGGGCAGGACAAGGCCTGAGCACTGCCCCAAAGGGCCTGTCATTCCAGCAGCTGGATGGCGCCTTCTGGCCTTATGTTGACCTTTTGCAGCTACTGAGCAAGGGATTTTCTCCTAGGGGAAGAAGCAGGTGAGGCTGTTGATGCCGGTTCAGAAAGCAGAGCTGAAAGGAGCAGCCTCTCCCCTCGGTGCAAGAAGGATTTGCAGCACTGCTGGGCTTCTGGGCTCACCTCCGTGCTGACGGGGAAAAAGGCTCTGGGCCAGAAAGGCTTCTGCACTGAAACGCCCCAGACGAGTGCTCTGACTCAGGGTCTGAGAGCTGCTCCTTGGACACTCCGGCAACACCACGGAAACGGCTCAGGCACGGCCCTGACGGAGCTCTGCCAGGAGCGTTGTCGTGGCCTCGCGGAGCTGCATTGCTCAGGCTTGTTCTCCATAACGCCGCCAACCCGCTGCGATGCCCAGCAGGGTGACTCTTCCTTCACGTGCCTCATTTCCCTCATTTGTCAAATTCCCTGCCATAACACTGATTTCCCGTGCTGCTCGGGGCCTGCATGGAGAGCAGCTGGACAGCCCCGAGAAGCTCTGAGCTGTGACTGCTCTGTGCACTGGGGAGAGCAACCCTGCCTGTCCTGCTGTTGTGTGATGGATGAGCACCGGCACTGGCAGCAGTGTGAGACTGGGGTTACGTTTTAGGGGCTCAGGGGCTGACAGCAGCGGGACCGAACGATTTATAATTGCACAGTCCATCCTATTGCCTCGGGGAGGCCAGCTGAATCCCAGGTCAACATCCATGGATTTACCTCCTCTCACAGTGGTTCAGGAAGCTCAGCTCGGCCTGCTACATTTTCTATGAATTTTGGTCACCTATGCGGCAGTGCATGGAGCAAAGGGCCCAGAGCACAGGACACGCTGCCACTGGCACCGCACACGGGAGGCCGCGCAGTCGGGGCAGCTAATCCAGAGATTTTGGGAGGGCAAAGCCAAGCTGGCCCTTCCCTCGCTATGCCTGACATTACATTTCCTAGCAGTTTGTTCCATTTAATTTGAATAACCTAAGTGGTGGGACTCTTGCCACTTACACAAGGGCCTCATTACCGCGGGCTTTGCCAACCTGCATATTTAGCTCCTCACCTTTTCCCAAGGGGTCGGCCCTTCTGCTTTGCAGTGGGCAATGAGATGCACAGAATACAGCGTTCCTGGCAGGAGAAGCCCTGGGGGCAGCGCGTCCTCGCTGGGACACCAGCCGCCTCCCCAGCCCTCCTCACCCCATCGTCCTCTTGCTACACTGTGCTCAGCCCTGCGCTGACCTCCCCACTTCTGGAAGGCAACAAAAATGTATGAAAAGATGTGTAACAAGAAACTGAAGTTGGACGGTGATGCTGAAACGCTCAGTGCTGGGCTCTGCAGATTTCCTGAGCGACCTTGTGCAAGGCAGTCAGTCTCAGTTAAGTCTGCTCTAGCTATGCCAGGGAATCGTATCCCGATTTCCTCTAGCTGGGCAGTAAGGTTCACAGCACAGGGCAGGACAGCATCCTGGCACGGGTCACTGCTAGTTACTACAGTTCAGAACTAGTCTTTGGTTAACAGTCCTTGCTTTGGGGTGTGGAAAGTTTTATTATTTGCTCCACGTTCTGTCAGTGTCAATTTCTATTGGATATGTTTATAGTTGGACTCTAATGGACAGCTGAACAGGTGCTTCACCCTGTGTTTTGCTGATGGTTTTCCATAAGAGTCCCTTTTGGATCAGAAAACACCCCTACTTTCCCTTCCCTACAGTACTTTCTGTTTCTTCGGTTGCTTTTCAGCTGTGATTAGAGAAACAGTGGTCCAACAAAAAGCCACAATGGTAGTAACGTAGCAGGGATGAAGACTGCTCCACAACTACATGATTGTGAGTATTTGTCTTAAAACCATTGCTATTACTTGCCACACAGCCAGAGCACAGCTGGCACCCCTGCAAAACCCAGGCCACGTGCTAGCAAATAGCCTAATGCTGAGGCAGGATTTCTGCTGGAGAACACGTCACTGAATGCTGGGCTTGGCCTGCAGCCTGGGGCACCGCCTGGCCTGTTCTCTCTCCAGCCCCAGAGGCTGTGGGTGTTTGTACATTCTGAACTAAAATTCAGCAGCTAGCGAGCTCACGGGCATGGCCCTGGCGGCTCAGGCTGCAGGTTTCCATTCCTTAAAAAGACCTCTTGGATATGGAAACAAACAGAGTAGGTTGAAGTATATGTGTGCGAGAGAGCAGAATGCGGATTCAGCTGCTCGTTAAGGTGCTGCGGGAGGTGCTGATGCTGGGGGAGACGCACCGGGGTCTCCTACAGTTCACAGCTCCCACTAAGGAAGAACGGATCCAGCGTGGGACAGAGAGCCAGGGCAGCGAGGGGGCCCGCACGCTTCCTACTCACCGATTCTGTCGAGCCTGTCCAGCGCCACCGTTTCGAAGGCTCTCCGCATCATGGGATACTCCTCCAGCACCTCGTTGAAGTTGTCCACGGAGAGCGAGTAGAGGCGGCAGTAGGTGTCAGCGCGCACGCTGGCCGTGCGCCGGCCACGCGTCAGCAGGCAGATCTCTGCAAGGAGACACGGGCCTGAGCAGGGCACGCGCGCGGCCTCGCTCCGGCCGCAGCCCACCTGCCTCCCTCCGAACACACACAGGGACCCCGTTCTCATCTGCAATAACATCGGGAATAAAAACCAGGGGCCCAGTTGTGAGAGATGCTGCACACAGCTGCACCGCAGGGGCTCCGCTTATCCGAACAGCCAGGCAAGTTTCCATATGGAGGGTCACCCAAGATGGCATTGGTGCACGTGGAGCGGAGAGGCCGTCCTCGCGCAGCTCCTCGGGGCAGGGCGTGCTGTGCCCGTGCTGAAGGCAACCCCGGACTTTCAGCAGACTCTGTGCTGACCCATGGCCCTGCTGCCATGGTAGCAGTTGCGGTGCTCAAACCACAAACACCTGCCTTGGTGCTGCAAGCCTAGAGATTGAGCCCCGGAGGGCAGCAGAGAAGGGGATCGGGGCACCCTCAGCACTCACTGCAGAGCTCCCTCCTGCTCCAAGCACCAGCACAGCAGCACTCCAGGCTGCAGTGATGACAGCACGTTTTTAGGCAGCTTTCTTGAGGAACTGGTGCTTATGAGAGTGTGGTGTCTAGGAGTGTGTGTGGTATCACAAATACACTGAGTCTGCCGGGCAGTTTTAAGCAAGTGAGTCGGAGTCGGGTTATCCTGACTCCCCCCTCGAGTTCCAAATCCCAGTGAACCGGCCCCACTTCCTAGGGGCTTGCAACATCCCTGCAACTGCAGCGTGGGCCAGTGCAAACCGTCTTTTTACGGAGCCAAGATTGTAGGAAATGCATGATAGGGATTTGAGGGATGGAGAACAGGTCGCACAAAGGAGAGGCAGATTCCTGCATTCTGTCTTTCTCAGTAGGCCGTTAACTGTGGCACACTGGGTGTTTTTACTGAAGAGAGCTCCTGCGAGGGAACTGTGTGTTGGGGTTTCAGTGAGACCTCTGCAGGGCTCTCCTCATAACACGGGTGTCCCCTGCGGCTTGCAGGAGCAATGGGCTAAGCCTGCCTGGTGGTGTTCCCTGCCCTCACGCCGGTCTCTGCCGATGCTGCGACCTCCCTGCACTGCAGACCGGGGCGGTGACGGGCCGTGCATCTGCCCCCGTGTTCGTGCAGGGCATCCTGTGAGAGCTGCCTGTCAGCAGGACCAGGCAGCACCGTGAAAGTGCTCAGAGACTTGAGACTGTTCCACTTTTTTCCCTTTCGGCCCTCTGCTTCATAGATCTATCAATTTGCTTGGGGCAAGGAAGAAATTAACCTTCCAGAACTAAATTTTCCTTCTCAATTTTATTTTTTATTTACTCTCCTTTGCACTTCCTTTTGCACAACCTGCTGTAGGGAAGCAGCAAGCCAGTGAGGTGAGCAGAGGGTGGAGGAGGACGTGATGGAGATACCAGCTCCATGTATTGTCATGCTCCTGTGATTGGGACATATGAGCAAGAGGAGCAGGTCTCACTGCGTGGGGGGACTCATTAACACGCACCTCCAAAATAGGAGCCGTCAGCCAGCTTGGTCTCCTTGTTGCCTTTGGTGAGGACGCTCACCACCCCGTGCTGGATGAAGTACATCTTCTTGCCGATGGTGCCCTCCCGAATGATGTAATCGCCCGGCTGGAACACCTCGAACCGCAGCTTGGTCAGCATGGATGTCACAAAGTTGGGATCTGCGTTGGCAAAGAGGGGCATGGAGGCAACCAGCTTCCGGCAGTTGAAGTTTATGATTTCCTGACCGCAAGGTGAGTGTGAGAGAGACAGAGAGAAGAGGGCAGAGGAGGAGAGAGGCAGGGAGAGGAAGCGGGACAGAGAGCAGAAAAGACACACACATCTTCAGTCAACATCTGAAGCGACAACCCCCGCTTGAGCTCTATATTAGAAAATGAAGAAACAAGCGGCACAGCCACCCGGCACCGTGAAAACGGTGCTGTCGGCGTGACCGGAGCACAGCGAGGAGCCCCGCACCGCGCGCCAGCACCCTGCAGCAAGATCCCCCGGCCCTGTGCACAGCGTCCTCATCCCACAGGAGTGTCCCATGCCCTGGGCCAGGGCTGCGTGGGAAGGGCCGGGGCTCCCCTCTGCAGCTCGCCCCGGCAGCCTGTGCTCCACGTCGCCCGTGCCGGACAGCGAGCAGCTGTGCGGCACGTGCCGAGGCCCGCACAGAACGCGCTGTCCCGGGGACTACCTCGTAAAACCCAGGACTGGTGCAGCAAGAGCTGTGAGCAGAGTGGGCCCCAAGGGGAAGCAAAACTGGTGAGATCTCCAAGCAAAAAATCCTGGCATTTTGTCACCTGGGATCTTTTCCCCTCTTCTTTTCTCAGCCTCTTCCTGCTGTCTGGTCACTGCCCAGTTTGTCCAGGTCAAGGAGCAGGGCCAGGGCAGAGGTTGTCAGAAAGGCAGCAGCTGCCACCTCCAACCCCAGGCTCTTTGCTTGCTGGCAAAGTTTTATCTCGAAGGGGGAGGTAGGCAGGATTTATTGTGGGAAATAATAATGTATCAATAATCCCCATTCCTCAGCCATGGCAGGCTTGTTTCTGGAGCATCTCTCATGTTTGGCAGCACTGGGGGAATCCATTCCAAACCAAACTGTCCTGCCCTGTATTTTCTCAGAGCAACATACAGGGATGAACCTAGGATGAAGCTCGGCCCTAGCCCCTCGATTCAGGACCTTCTACTGGCAGAAGAAGCACAGACCATCAAGGTTGAGCTTCTTGGTGAGCTGTGGCCTCGTGTGATGTGACATCCTTGCCTCAATGGACAGAGCTGTTTCCCAAAGGTATGGGCTCTCCAATGCCATGCAGGTAAAGGAGCTTTCAAGCACACATAGATAAAGAACAGGAATAACTGGCGGAGGAGGAGCTCAGTCAGATGAAGATGTGTATTTCTGTTGTATTGAGAAAAAGGGCAGATTAGAGAGTCAGGAAGTGTGAAGGGGAATTCTTCTCCACATTCCCCCCAGAAGCTGCTTGAGAGGTCTATTAGTGCCCTAAAGAGAACAGGCAACGGACACCTCTGTGCGCCGTGGTGCTGCAGGGGGCTGACCAGGCTCAGGATGGCAAAGGCTTTCCTGCAGGGATCCCCAACACGTGGTGAGGTCACCTTGATGCCCCACGTCACGTGCTGCAGTGGCCAAAGACTCAGGCAGGAGCCAAAGGCCTGGACTTCCCTGCTCCACAGCAGTGACTTCTGCCGTGACCAGGGTAAGGGAATGGCAGCCAAGCAGCAGCGCCTACAACATCTGCCACTCTCTGAATGAGCCTGTCTAAGATTCAGACACAGCCGAGCCGTGAGCAAGGAGCAAAGCCCAGGAGCAGGTAGATTTCCAAAAAGGAGGGGGGCCCTGAATGGATGAAGTCTCCGCTGGGCAGGACACTGGAGCCGGTGCTTCCGGCTGCTGCTTCCGAGAGAGCTGGCCTCCCTCCACTGCCCTGGCCCTCCTCCGTAGGGATACACTGCTGCATCCCGGGGCTCCAAAGCTGTCGAAGATGCTAGGAACCCAGCCCGCCCACACAGGTGCCCTCCTCACCTCGCGCAGGGGCTCGCTCAGCTCGCCCAGGATGCTCTCCTCGTCGAACATCTTGCCCTGGTAGCGGTGCTCGTAGTAGTCGTGGCTGCGGTGCCGCCTGTCCGCGGGCAGCTTGTGGAAGGACATGTACTGCTCCACTTGCTTGTACTACTGCACGGGGAGACAGGAGGAGGAGCAGGACGTTCAGCGCAGGGCCCTGTGCGGCCGCCGCTCGCGCTGCCCGTGAGCACCCACAGCCCCGCACCTGCGCCTGCCTCCGCTCAGCAGCCCGGCGATTCAGCACAGGACAAACCAACAACCTGAACATACGAGGGGCTGCAAACACCTCTTCTGTATTTCCTACAGGGCTGCCCTGTGTGTTAAGCAGCCAAGCGCGCTGGGAAGACCTCTCTTCACTGCCCAGGTGCGGAGCAGCCCGGGGTCCCGTTCCCCCCAGCCAAAGCCGGGCATCTCCTCTCATCCAGCAATGCTTTGCACCTTTGCTTTCACACCTAGGGCTGGGCACATCCCCATTTTCTTCCTTTTTTTGCTGTGTCCCTCTTGCCCCATGCACTTTGGCTGCGTATATTTTGCAGTCTGTATTTCTGCCTAATGATTTGCATTTCCATCCTGTCACTTAGAGGGGAATACAGAGGCACTTAACGGATGCCAGAGCAGTATCTGGAGAGGAATGGCACTTTCTGTGAGTAAATGACATTTCCTCAAGGACACAGCTCTGCAAGTTCCCATGCCCTGGGAGTGCTGCAGGAGCAGGGCGTGAGCACAGCAGCCACGTCCCCCTGCCCAGCAGAAGGCTGATCCTGCCTGGGTCTCATGGAAGTAACACTGACAGGAGGCCCGTGTGCCCCTCTGCTTTCCTCCTCTTCCCTCTTCTCCCCAGTAAACCTGTCCCTGAATGTCCCGATGCCGCCGCTCATTCTGAAGTGCCTAATTACCGACTGCTGCTCATTACCGAGCTCTCCCTGCACAGCCCCATGCCACCCAGCTCTCAGCACAGCGTGTGCTGGCGCTGCCTTGCATGCTAACAACTCGCTCTGCGCTGGCGGGGAAGAAGTCACCCTATGAGGCCAAGGTGGCAGAGGGGACGCTCGGGATCTCCTGGCATTTCCAGAGGTGGTTGCCTGTAGCAAGCAGCAGAGGAGCTGTCTGTAAATATTCATGACCAAAGTGAAGCACCATGGTCAAAGTCAAGCGAGTCGCCACCTCCCCACGGGGAGCCAGCCGGTGAATGGGCAACGAGAGCTGCCCCTTATTTGGGTTGCTGAGTTTCTGCTTTTGGAGAGTTGCGCCTTGGGTTGCTGAGTTTCTGCGTTAGGAGAGCTGCACTGTGCTTGCTTGCCAAGGATCTGCTTTAGCAGCGTCTGCGGCTCACGAAGGAGCCGGCGTGCGGGGCTGGAGGGCAGCATTGCCCAGATCTCATCACCACTTCTCACTACTGCCCAGCTTGCTATGACCAATATTCAAGTGACCTTTGCTTCCTGGGCGAAATCCCCCCAACTCCTAGGGCTCACAGGCGCAGCTCGGGTGGAGGGACTCGGACTCCTTGCTTGTTTGCTGCTGTTCAGAGATTTAGTGCTTCGCAACAGAGAGCAATAAATTGCTGCTCTGCAAAATCCCTAGGGCTTGCAAGATTCCCCCTTCATTGCTGTCTCCAGATATGGCTCAGAGTAAAAGGAGGTAAAATTTATTTCAGCAGAAAGAAAGGTTCTGCTCCTGATTACAAATTAAAAACATGGTTACAAAGCAAAAATTATGAAATAAGAAACCATAATTCTTCCCCATATTTAATAAGGACACATCTTGGCTCTCCTGTCTTTGCTAGCGCTACCTGCCCTGCCGGCTAGGGACGGTTTTGTGGCTTTTGTCTCTCTCACCTCCAGATGAAGCCCTGAAGAGGAGCCCAGCGGTGAAAGCAGGAGCCCCTCTCTGTACAGTCAACAAATGAATGATCCTGGGGGCTTTCTCCCCTCTCCTTAGAGGCTGCCCAGCCAGGCTGGCAGTGTTCAGCAGCAGCACCCGCTAAACCAAAGGCCACAGTATTAAATGCTGCAAGAGGGAGGGCACTTTGCAAGGACTACGGGCAGCGCTTGCCTCCTCTCAGCTCTCAGTTCTGAAGAGGGATCGTTTCTGAGGTCGCCAGTGAGGCCAAACCAGGGCACGAAACCAAGGGCCCAGGGTGACTGCGTGGGGCACATCAGCAGCAGGGCGCAAGGATGGGAGGCTTTGCCAGCTAATCCTGAACTAACAGCTCTTCCTGCTTCACTGCAGCCACTCGCTGCGGCCGCTCGAGTCAGCCGCTGGTGCAGACCCAGCTGAGCCGCTTCTCCAGGGCAAGCTCAGCCGAGCGGTCTGGCCTCCCCGGGCCACCCACCACCAAGCGAAGGCCACCGGGACATGACTGTCCACACAAGCATCAGAATCTGTCCCTATGCAGCCCTTAGGTCTCTTCGTTCCTCATAAAATCTTAAACTCAACTCTTTCATAGAATCATAGAATCACAGAATGCTTAAGGTTGGAAGGGACCTCTAGGGATCACCTAGTCCAACCCCCTGCACACGCAGGGTCACCTAGGCGCAGGACTGCGTCCGAGCGGGTTTTGAAGATCTCCAGAGAAGGAGACTCCACAGCCTCTCTGGGCAGCCTGTTCCAGCGCTCTGTCACCCTCACTGTTAAGAATTTTTTCCTTAAGTTGCTGTGGAACTTTTGATGCTTCAGTTTCTGGCCGTTTCCTCTTTCCCATGGTTCCTTGTGCTATTGCACAGTGCCATCCACCTGCTGTGGCAGAAGGATCCCTGAGGGTGCCGACGATCCACGCTGGCTCGTCCCACACTTGTTTGATTATGACTGTGAAGTGCTGAAAGCCACCTGCTCAGGTGTCTCAGGCAGTACCTCTGGTTTTGGTAGAAGAAAGCCCATGGAATGCCCACAAGAGTCATAGCTTGCAGATGGATGAAGGGTGCCAAAAGCACTTGCTAAAGAACAAGCAAAATATCATCTCCTTCAGATGGGGCCAGGCCTAGTTTGGCCACAGCCCTTTGCCTCCGTCCTCCCTTGCACTCCTCTGTTCAGCCTCTGCACTTCTGCCTATGTCCTCCAGCTGCCCTGTGCTCCAGAAACCTGCAGACACTGGTGGCATCTCTGGGTTCTACATCAAAGACTCACTGAGGAATTATTTAAATCTCTATGAAGACAATCAAGTCCACTTAAATCCTAATTCATCTCCTTTAAGTCTGTTTTTCCCCACATAAGCCCTTGAAGGAGGCATTAATATATCAAAAGGGGGCCGTTTCATTGGGTATTTCTCCTTGTAGAACAAGTCACTTTTCCGAGTTGTCCCATCCTCTTCCACTGAAGCCCAGTTCTCATAACTTCACTCTCTATCCTGACTCCTGCTGTCTTTGCCAGTGATGTCATGGACAGAAAAGGCTCTGCTATTTCCTAGCCCAGCCCCTGATAGGAGCTGTTAGGAGCTGGCTCCTATCCCAGCCCTGGCACTGGCACCTCGTCCGTCTCTCTCGGCCCGAGCAATCGGAGCTCCACAGAAATGCTGATTGCCATTCGGGCCGCTCTCTCAATGCAAACTTATCTACAGGGTTTCACGCAGTGCCTGGCGATACGTCCCCGCACACGTACCCACTGCATGAGGGCACTGAGGATGTACAGAGATGGTAGTGTTGCCCTCTAACCAAATACGCGTTTCGCATATAGAAACACATCGCCTACAGCCTGGCAGAAACGGGCTGAAATGACTGCAGGTCAGAATCTCATCCTGGTCATGACAGTTTAAATCTGGACTCCATGGATGCCAACATCTAGTGCAAGAAACAGGAGAGTCAAGCAGAGTGAGGCATTTTCAGTTAAGGCAAAGATTTTAGTGTGTAGGAACAGTGGTTGTTTCAATGCCACCTCAAGCAGCACTGTCCAACCTGCATCTGGCAGAGGCTCAACTTTATCTGTACTGCTTTTGTCTTTTGGACTAAATTTATGCCCACCATCCACTCTTCACCTTTGGAAGGTACCTAACAGTTAACTCTTGATCCGATTTTCATTATGAAAAAAGGCTCTACATAATGTCCTGGTTCTGAGTTCTTTTATAAACACCAGGGTTCAGATCTGGTTTAGTTTTTGCAGCTTGGCACTAGCTGTGTTTGTAGGATGATTTTCAATAGTCACATGTCACACACTGAAATACTTGGGACACTTTTGCCCTCACCTCAGCAGCTCCAATGACACCTTCAGAAATTACCTTAAGAAGAAACCGTCTCTTCTTGCCTGCTCTAAATACTGCCGGCACTAGCCGAAAACCCTTGGAGCTTTGTTCTCGCTCTTCCTATGCACCAGTCCTTAAAGTGCGGATGGCTGCAAAACCCTGGGAGGTCTCTGCTGCTACTGAGAGCCATTCAGGCCAGGATGGTGCTGCCAACAGCCCCATTACAGAGCGGGAGGCGTTGGCAGCCGGAGCGGATACCCGTGAGCCTGTAGGGACGCGTTTCCAGTGCTGGAGCAGGAGCATTGGGGCGGCACGAGCCGGGAGGCCGACGGGAAGGGCGCCGTGCGCAGGGACTCACACACACGCGCTGGCCTTGCATATGTGCAGGGCTCACTCCTGGCCTCACACACACCTGGGGCTCCCTTGCTCCTGCCCTCGCACACGCGGGGGGCTCGCTGCTGCCCTTGCAAACGCGTGGGGCTCGCCCCTGCACTCGTACACACACAGGGCTTGCTGCTGCCCTTGCACACGCACGAGGCTCGCTGCTGCCCTTGCACATGCACAGGGATTGCTGCTGCCCTCACAGATGCACAGGGATTGCTGCTGCACTCGCACATGCACAGAGCTCGCTGCTGCCCTTGCACACACACGAC